ATTATAACAAGCCTTACCAGTAGAGCATTAGTGCGGACAAATGAGTCAGCTGTACGGTAGAGAAAGCGACCACAAACTTCCAACAATGCACATGTCATATCAATGTTATGATGGCGGAAATCAGACAGCAAAACCTATAAATACATCACGTATATGTTATCATTTGCTATCATTGTGAATGATAAAAATGAGATTCAGATTCAATTAAAACAATTATTTGAAGGGAAAATGAAAAGTGATGAACAAATTTGATAAAAAAAAAAACCAGCCAGATGCAGATAATCAGAACTCGTAGGATAATGCAAGATTATTATCACGCCATTTCCTTTTCATAACAAATCACAGCACAGTATTCAGTAGGCAGTTTGAACAACCCACAAGTCTAAAGATGGGTGAAGCTTAAGTTGATATGAGCCCACTCATATTGATACTAAATACTACGAATATACTCAATTTTACCTTAAGACACTGTAAAGTATCTGCCTTTGGACACATCTTGAACTTGGTCAATTCACCTGAAAAGCATCAAACATTTTATTTGTAAATAAAATTGAAAAAGTAAAGGGACAGATATTCCTTTTAAAAACAAAGAGAACAAGACTATTATTTCTCATTAAGACAACCATGCTTCAAACCAAATAAATGTAAATGTATATTTACCTATAAAACGAACTGTTTTGATTTTAGACTCAATATTAATCTGATCCTTCTTTTTCACCTGTTAAAATATAAATTGTTATATAAATTAATGTAAAAGTAAAACTATAATGAAGAAATTCATTATTTTAAAGATATGTTTATAAGTTTACAAGTGACACTGTAATAAAAAATAATTTGTCACATTAAAGATTCTTAGTGATGATTTTCATTATTTTGGGAGTGCAAAGTAATAACGTGGTTAATCTACATACTGAGTAATCAGTACACTTGAAGGAATAAATGGTAATAAAATAATAATATTCACATGGTATTTGAAATCTGCCTTAAGTCGATCTACTAAGTCTGTAGCTACATCTGGCATACAAGGAAACAAGGTAGCAACTAAGCGAGAATAGAATGACAGTAAATC